CAGGAGATCTTGAGACATCTCAGGAATTCATTAGTGATCGAATAGAAGTGTCTGGGTCTCCCGGCAGCGGAGGACCATGACTCGCCTTTAACGCCTCTTGAAATCTCACGATGAAGCCGCCACCTAAGACAACAACACTCTTCAGAAATTATTTTCAGCAACCAACGCCAATCTTACGGGATGGCCATCTGTGCACCAGGGAAACGTTCTGTACACTTAATCTGCTCCACAGAAAGACCAAACCTAGTCATTCTCAAACATCTGAAGGACCGATTGAGTGAGAAAATTATTAGGTGACACGCAAGCCTTAATATACTTGGTCTGTTCGACTATGTAACATTCTAACAAGATCTGAGTAGCTGGACATTTCGAAAGACACTCCAATTGGCACGATTTGCTCCGTGCTCCGCACAGTAATCCTGACATGAAGACGATCCGACTGAATGTTTGAGAACTGCTAGGCCTTCTTGGCGAGACGCGACAGGATTCAGTGCTGGGCATTCACTGATGTGTACCTGCACTCAATACCAATCGGCGATATATCATCGAAAGAGTATCAGTGACAAGCTGTCCGCCTGCGTAAGAAAGTCAGCTGCATCTTCTGTACCTTTACTTCATACCTACCCTTGCCTGTGGATGTTTTCAACTTGGCCACACACAGATATCCTTACGCTACTATGTGGCAAAATCGCATCCCACACAAGCCTCTTCGCCCAAAGACTCGACCTTGATACAAGAAAAACCTATGCTTGTTACAAATATCTACGAAGCAAATCTGTCGTAATAAGCAGAACCAATAATCTGGTAGGAATACTGCTTTGTTAACACCTAAATAAACCACTACTACGAAGCAAATACAGACTGATTATTGTCATGTTCGACAAACCTACTAACAGGACAGATAGATAATCAGACTACTCGCCAGACACCCATTCCACAGATCACCTTTAAATCTTCTGTGAACAATACGCCAGACCAAAGAACAATAATATAGCCCAGCACTCTGAACCTGACCTTGAAAAACCTACCACAAGATTAACATAACAGTAGATATTATCACATTTTTGCTACTTTCAAGTAAACGTGCTTGTTGCCTGAAGTTCTCGACGATACCTTGTGCAAAGAGAAACTCCATCTAAAATCGCAAATGGCCTCTTCAGAACCAGGCAGAGGTGGTTTGCTGCAAGCACCTGAATTGCCGTGCCGTATCCGCGGGTTTCACCTCCTTCGGGTCACTAACGAGGAACCTGAGTGCAGCTACTGCTTCTCCAACCATATGTGACTGACGTTCTGTCCCCTTGAGCTTAAAACTCTAAAAACTAATCCGACGAGCAGACCCAAAAAATTTTGCAAAACACGAATGGCAATAATAAAGTCGCGCCGTGGCCGCAGACGGGTTGCAGCAGCCTTCGTCTGCGACGAGAGGCTGCGGGTTTCGGTTCCTTGCGTAGGTACGGGTTCGTATTCTTTACTTGAGGATCGTGGATTGAGGTCCTATCACCTCACTGCCTTCCATAATCTCAAGGCCGTAACAATGTTTCTTTATTAAGTGATACAGCCGTAAAAACTGATCCTATCCTTAACTACACAACGCTTAATCTCTCCGGGGCCAAGGAAAGAAGAACGTGGTCAGAAATGGCGATATCCCAAATAATATAATAATAATAAATACATAAGTAATAATTAATAATAATAATAATAATATGAGTCCTCTCCGCAAACGACCGTCTCTGTCTCAGTTGTAATGGAAGCTCGGTCTCTACAGCCCCACCCAAGGGATGCAGCGGCGAAGAGCAGGGCGATGACCCGGGGCCCCAATTCGATCAAGATGAGCCGGATTAACCTCTCCTGGCGCTCCGCCCCGCGGTTGCAGATCGCCCAATCGCCCAATCGCCCAATGGCCGCACAACAATCCATCATTTGGCGGCGTTTGCTCAGCGCCTCTCGGCGATTTTCCTCTCGGCGAGAACGCAATTCGGAGAGCTGCGCCCGTACAATCACTGGACAGCATGGCCGAGGTCGCTAAGGCAGTGGTGCCGTAGTGATCTCGGACAGAAGCAAAGCATGGTTGTATTGTGTTCGTCTTTTCACCCCTCTATCATCATCATATCGTGTCATCCTCATAGTTACTATACCGTTTCACGCAATAGTGGTCGCTAATGACCTAGTAGTTGATGCGACCATAAATAACAACAAAAAAATCACTGGACAGCGTTTCTTTCTGAAAAGCCGCTTGCTGTGGACGGTAAGAACATTCACGAGGTTTTCATTTTTAATTTCTCGCATACTCCTTTCGCAGTATAGACAAAGTATTGTGATGCTGTGACAAAAGGGGGAATTTTCGACTCCCCGACGAATTGCGTTCCCCAGCAGCATCCTCTTCGCATAGCCGGCCACTCCCCTGGCCGAAGCCCCGCCAACTAGGTCCGCAACCCCTCCCTTCCGTTTCCTCTGAAAATGCATCGCGAAATACCTTATCCACGGTTCCACGGCGCTCGTTGCGGTGCTATCTCCCCCCTCCTAGTGCGCCATTCGCAAACCGTCTTCTGCCCTTGAGCTTCGCCCCTCTCCGCCCTTCGCACTGCCTTCACACTCAAGCCCAGGGCCCTGGACGCGCGCCCCGCGCCTCCTGGCCCAGCTCCTCGCCCCCCGCCCTCTCGGCCAAGGCCCTCGCCGGTGCCGGGCGAAGACCGCGCGCGCAGAGCCCAGATTAGCTGCCGGCGAGATTTATGCCCCTTGGGGCTATTGGAAGTGGACTTACGCCGCAGCTGCACGCGCCCTTCCCACCCAGATGCGCCACACACGACATCCACTCGGCGGCAGCGGGGTTCGAGCCTACTCCAACAGGGCCCCGGCGCGGGGCAGGGCAAGGGCAGCCTGGACGAGGCGGGGCGAAGAAAATGCGAATACGAGTGATCCTCAGCGAATTCTCGTGCTGTGAATTATCAGACTCAGTGCATCACTTCTTACGACGGAGCTGGCGTCATGTGACAGCAACGATCCATGGAAGTAGGCGCCCGCCATAAAATAATGTATGTGTTGCGTTACAGAACAGCAGCTCTATTGCTATTCTTGGTTATGTAAAGAACTGTTTCACTGCCATTGTGCTATAGTAGTATTCATCAAGACCATAGGTATTAAATTATTTAATTTATTGCAGGGCTTAATGAGTGCATTAAACATCGTGTTCTTGATGCTTGTGTTATATAGTGTTCTTGCGTGCTACTGTTCATAAAACCCTTTCGAGCAACATTTTTGCTGTGCAGGGCAATACTTCGATTTTTAACGAGTCGTCTCAAGGTCACGCACGAAAAAGGGACAGGGAAGGCAGACTCCAATAGGGAGCCGTAAAAGTGGGCGCTGTAGTGACGTCGCAACTCCCTATTGGAATCCATGTTTCCTCTCCCTTTTCGCGCGTGACCTTGAGACGCCACGTTAAAAAAAATCAATGTATAGTTCGACCGAAATCACTTGTCCAGTGCCGTGCCTCTGCTTCTCCAGGCCAGTGGAAGCCCTGTTGGAGGGGGGGGCAGGGGGGAGCTGAGCGCCCAAAGCGGCGCTGGACGTGAGGGATCGGTCGGACTCGTGGGGATCCCAGGCCCCCCCCCCCCCCCCGCTCCGCTTCGAAGGGCAGGAGGGGGTGGAGGAGGAGGGGCTCAAACGACAGAAGCGCATCAACCGACGACGGGAAACGAGGAATTTCCAGGCAGGAGAAACTGCTGCTTTCAGGGACGAATATAGCCGGTCATTTTGGAGGGGGCGAACATAGATTTCTCTTAAATGATAAACATGTGTTATTATATTAACTTAATATTTTTGAATGTGCTTTCAAACTTATCTAAAAATGCATCAATTTGGATTTAATAAAGTGACATTATTTTCGAACTATTATTTTTAAACCATATCATTTGTTTCGAAGGAAGAACTATGATTAGTGTTTAAAACATGTTTTATACAAATTTATATAAACCCATTAAGTCCAAACGTTGCGTGAACGGAACATTTAATATTTATATTTTTTTTAGAAAAGCGATTCTATATAAATTTGTATTTTATCACCCACGCACTAGGAAGAAAATCTATTTGATCAGGTTTCACACTTTCCATTCATATTCGATCGTAAATTTCGCTTCATTGAATTTCGAAACTTGGAGTAATGTAGTGAATTTTGTTACCGATATTCAATTTAATAATTTAATCATTAATCAATACTTTATTTCTGTATATTACTCGATGAAATGTCTTTTACCTTCTTTTATCATTTCAGAATATTTATTACGTAGATAAGTCCCTACAGAACTTGAAATGGATTCTAGGATATACTTCATATCAGCTTTGAATGATTTCTTCGTAATCTTACAGATTGAATAATAATTTTGTAAATTGTTACTATAAATAAGAATATTTTTCAATTACAATACTAACTTTATTTATGTTTTTAAAACAAATTAATTAGTAATTTTAATGTTTTAGTACAGGTCTCAAAAAAGGAATTATTTCAGCAAACGTTGAAAAATGTAAAAAACAATGACATTACTTCTACTCCTAAATAACGTGGCGTAACGTTGTATCAGACCCCCTCCCTCTCTACAGCGTTACTTAATTCATGGACGACCCCTTTCTGCCGAAAATTCGCTGTTTTTTTCGCGCAGCATTACACAATTTTCTAGTCCGTAGCGGGAAAGTAACTAGTCACGTACAATATACTGACAAGAAGCCTACTACAAGTTTTGCTTGTCTGAATTACCGCGTTAAATCACAGATTAAATTAATAGCGCTTTTCGCCGGAAAGTCCACCGATGGGGCGGCTGCGAACGCCGCCCTCTTATCTCCGGCCGCGCGTCTGCTTCGCCCTTTGAATGGAGAGGTGCGGCGCATGCGCATTAGGCAGCTCCCCCTCCCCTCCCCCCGACATGCGCCAAACAAAGCCCCCCCCCCCCTCCACTGCGCGAAAGGTGGGAGGGAGGGAGAGGGAGATAAGATCGGCGGCGTCGTATAACAGGGGCCGCGAGCCGCCACCGCCACAGCATTGTGAGCCGCTCACGCGACCGCGCCGCCGCAGCAATTCTCTGTTCCCACGCGTCCTCCGCCACGCAGCGCGCGATGCAATACAACTTCGCCCACTGCACCACTGCACCGCACCGAGCTACTAACTGCAAACAAGTTTAAATGAAATACGTTATACCGTTAAAATGTTCATTTTTTTCCATTTATCGTTAATTTAGGGGATATATTAACGTCTATATCTTCATTTTTTTTGATTTTTGTTTTTTTTTTTTTAATTCCAGCGCATTATAGAAGAGAACCGTGCTTCTGTTGCAAGAAATCGTTAATTCACGTCACTACGGAAATTTTGAGGGCATCGAAAATGATGACGGTATTAGATTTTATTTCAACGTGAATGATTTATGCGTCATACCGTTTCCGTAACGGAACAGCCGACCACGACGTTCTTACTCGCACGATGGCAAACACACAACGAGTCCGGTCTCCATCAGGGAATTGGTTTCGCAAAAATTACCGTTTGATTTCTCCTTATAAACTGTATAATGTGTTACAAGCAAAAAATAATAGCAGCAACTCGTATATAAGCTGCTTTTATTAATCATTCGACAAATTTGAAAACTCGCTACTGTTCCTCGCTCAAAGTCGCTTGCTTTCCAAAACATATATCATGGCAATAACAGCTTAACATTATTACAACTAATTGATAAACTACTATTCCCAATGGTTTCTTGACATTAAATTAAACAGACTCCGGGTATTTTTTATAAACAAATAGGTATGTCATTACGCTTAGTGTCGTTGGACCCTATTAGTATATTTTTTAATCTAAAAAACTGTAATGAAAGTTATGTTCAAGTGAATTATCAATAAAATTGTAACTCATATCTATTGAAACATTATTAGGAGGAACTAAAGCAAAATAAATAAAACAAATTATGACATATTGATAATTGTCCATGTTTGTTGACACCACATCATAAACAGCCAGTGAACATTTTGATACAAAAAGCTGGTCAATTCCTAAACCCCTTCCGGTCAAATACATGACATAAGTCGCTTTTTATTTAAACTTGGCTACAGGTTCCCGGAGTTTACATATGTAGGAATGATGCAGATCATTTTTTTCAAAGTTCATTAAAGTGTATTAACGTAGAGAGTCCATTACAATAAAAATGTTAATTTAGATCACAGCTAACCATGTAGTAAACTTCAATCAGTATATATACAATCAATACAGTATATATATATAAAATTTCGTGTAGATTATCTAATCGATATTACGACAGGAAAACTGTTACAAATTTACTCTGCCAACATGTGCATAAGAAATTTACCAAAAAATATTACATTTTGATGTTGTGAAATGCACTACACAACCGCCTGCAAAAAGTGGCGGGAGAAATTTTATCTCCCCTACCGCCCACACAAAGGCGCACTCCCTTCGCTCCGGGCGAGGGGCGCGTTGACCAGTCGCTAAGTCAAAATGTTGGTGTCTATGCGATTGGCGCAAACTGCCATGCGGCGGGAAAGGCATTGTTCCAGGAGGCACTGGCCTCGATTGTTTACGTATGACGTGGAAATGTCATCTTTCCCTGCCGAAGGAGAGATTTTGCCTGCGCGTAGGCCATGACGAAAAAAAAGGGAGGGGGGACTTTCCATCCAGAATAAGTGTCGATATACCAGTAAAAATTAACCATTTTAGCAACAATTATATTAACTTTTATCAATCAATTTGTAACTCTGTCAAACTGTTATTTATAAATGTTAATCTCAGGCACAATATGCCGATGCTTTCCGGATGTTCTAGAATGCTCTAGCACATATCTCGAATTTGTTTATAAAATTGTAAATTGTTGCAAAATTGTAATTCGCGGTTTTCGGCTTGAGACATCGGGAGACTCTCCCCCTTCACATCTGCAAAAGTTGGAAATTGTTTATAAATTGTCCGAGCGGTGCTATCAACTCCGTTCAGAAGATATTTAATTGAATAATAGAAGTTTTCACCACATAATCACACCCATTTTTTGCACTCATTCCATTCGCTCTCCGCACACAAGTGTACTGAAAATAGATGTTTGCAATGTGTGGCTTCGATGGTTCACATCATACTCCTAGGGCAGAGGTGGTATCGCGGCCTCCGTAGCGTTTCAAAGCGATAAACTGTGCCCCGGAACAAAATTATTGTCTTTACCATATCTTCGAAGAAAAAAACAACAACAAACAAGACAAACGTTTATTGGAACATTGTGGCATCATTTCAGTAACAATTTCTGTCATAAGCAAAAGATAACTTTTTTAAGTTTCAGCCTTTCCTTTTTTATTTTAAATAGCCATTAAAACTCTCGTTTCAATATTTTAATTCGCTTAAGTGTTATTAGTATATAAACAAATTATCTGGTACAATTAATAACGGCAGTGTTTTGGCGACTATGAACATAAGCAATATTATTTACTTTTATTTTCTCTATACAATAATAGTACGACTTGCATTGCTATAAATTTGAGCTAGCAAAGAAACTGTTTATAAAGATATATTGCAAAGTTCATTATGTCGAAAGACTAGCTCAAGAAGCAATAGTGCAAATGATATTTTCTCTCAAGGGCAAACTATGAAAGGGTTCAGTATTCTGAACATTTTCGATGACAGGCGTGACTTCGCACGAAAATTTAAACGAAAGTTCATTTACTGCTAAACGTGAAAAAAATGTCCATGAAACTAATCGCTTGCCGCAAAAGTATTGCCATTGAATGAACGCCGCCCGAATCATGAATCGTTTCTCACTCTAGAACGCTTTTCAAGTACGCACGAACATATACAAGATGCGAATAATTCATGTCCCCACTAGAGGTTTGAGATTTTGAAAATATTAGACTGATAAAATTAATGAACCTACATGTGAGTGATTATTGAATGATTAAACGGTGAAGTTTAATGATTAAAAAAATTGTGCTGACTTTGTTTAATTAAAAAGAGAATCATTTAATTAAGAGAAAGGCAAAGGTACCGTCGTGCAAAATAGAAAGAAAGCTAATTTTAAAATTTTAAATTCTGAGAACAATATGAAATAAATAAAGACAATTCTTTACATTACCGTCATTTTATTCATAAATGCAATTTTGAAAAATCAGACGCAATACCAAGAAACTTCGTTCATTAGTCCAATAGGGAGCTGTAGGCCGTTGAAGCTCCTTATTGGCGTCTGCCTCTCCCCTTTTATGAGTGACCTTGAGAAGCCACGTTAAAAAAATTGAAGTATGTCACCTCTGTAGGAAAATTGTTCGAGTCAACAGTGGTTCTATTCACAAAGTAGAATTTTTCTTCAACTGTACTTTGCTTTCCGCATTGTATTTTGAGTGAATTTTGAGTCCTTACTGATGGCGTTAACATGGCGTTTCACTGATAGCTCCTCACGCCTGATGCTCTGCGTTCGCCTGGAAAAGGGCGCGCAGCCTTTCCACGTGTAACTAATGAACTCCAACTGACATTTGCATCGTTGTTTCCACTCCTTTATTCAGTTCCCCTTCTTTGCATTCAGTTTAACTTGACTGCTTTAATCTGACCTTCCCTACGGGGTTCCCCTGCAAGCAACCTCATTTGAGCAAACGCGTCCACATGCGTATAGCAAGCAACCTTCTGATGAACTGCACTGATCGTTCATATTTGAACTGTTGGATTAGGTCGCTAATTCTATGGCCACGTCTAAACAAAATTTAAACGTACTCGATAACATCCTAATTCCCCTCTTAATTCATACACGTACTAATACAAGTTGAAAATACGTCGTGGTGATGTGGTGCAGTGTCTCATGTCCATCGCTACGCACTCGAACAGATTGTCATCAAGAAAAAAACTTTAACTAGACAACATTTTTTGTTCATTTAAAAGAAGGTGTCAACACCAGCATTATATTAAGAAATTAAAAATGATGCTACACTTCCCGAAATATCTCTTCTTTGCACAATAAGATACACAAAAATAGATAGAGTATTTACAAATACACACATAGGTAGTATATATGAATCCTCCAGGAAGTCGCGGTCTGACTTTAGAGGTGTGAATCTAGCGGCCGGCTGCTCTGATCGGTAGTTTTCCGTGGTTTCTCCGATTTAGGCGAATGCCGGAGCAGTTTCCTAACACAAGGGCCACGAACCGCGTGCCATCTTTCCTTCCTTGTTCTATCCTCACCCCATTCACACACACACACACACACACACAAACACACACACACACACACACAAACACACACACACACTTACACTAGCATGCACTACTCTACCACAGACGCCGGGAGACCGGTCGGGAGGTCTACCCCCACTCCTAATTTTGTATCACCACAACAAAGACCTTTATCCCTTCAGACTGGGTCCTCCTACAAGTCTGTCCTGTTGAGGTTTGGCTGTCATGAAGAGCAAACGCAACAACACCATTTTTATAGTGATTGGAGATAAAAATCTATTTCATAAAATAACGAAAGATGGGATTCGGCGGACGTCCAATCAGAGTACCAGCAAAAAATTCATCAAAACATTGCAAGCCAATTCTATCACTGAAATGACTACGAAGCGCCAGGGAACCCAAGAAACGACAATGAAGGAAACAGAAAACGGAAGATGTTCTGCGTCTCATTGAAAGCTTCTTCACGCTCAACTGGGAGAGGCAAAGACGTCGCAAGAGTTCTCTGTCAAGTGACTCGGCGTGGATCGAAGACGGGCTCTTCCGTCCCCTCCCCAAACGGAGATACTTCCTTTCATTTTGAACAACGCTATAACCATTAGAGGAATCATCGGAACAAGCGATTTATTTAATACACGCCTCTGTGTTGGTTTTCGCTTCGTTTTATTGCATTATCATCTGCATTTCAATTAACCTTCACATACAAAAGCCACGAAGTCAACGCACAAATCGAATAGTGCAAATGCTATTCCGCCTATAGTTGAAAGTCTTCGACAATACAGATAATCATATAATTGAATGCAACGCGTTCTAAACAAATAAACAAACAGAAATTATGAAAACCACGCAATAGCATTTCCGGTCAATGAGTACAATGTACGTGACAAAACACAGAGTGAGTGTGTGAGTGAGAAATGTACAGGGTGCTGCATAAGTAGGTATACAGGAGGTATCATTATCATTATCATTATTATTATTATTATTATTATTATTATTATTATCATCATCATCATTATTATTACTATTTCATTTTCATGTATAGTCACACTCACTGGCTGACCACTCTTTAGCGCATTTGACATAGCCCTAGAATGATCAAATTTGTTACGCAACCTGTATATAGGAGGCCTACTTGGTGGAGGTACATTGAATTCTTCTATTGCTCTCAAACCTGTCGAGCATTCCTTGTCTTCCACTACTGTTTAAGTATCTCATTCGTCGATCTATTACCACTCATGATGTTCTGAATATCTGAAGGAACAACTATAAAAACGATCTCGGAATAGACAAAAACATAGTATACGTTCTGTGCACCTGCTTATGCACCCCGTGTGTATCAAGCGTTTCAACAGGCAGCGAGTTGATTGAGAGAATCGCAATCGATAATGCTCCTCATAATTTAATAACCTCCATTTGGCGCCGCCCGGCGACGCGCGTCCAGTGTCATGCGGTCCCGCCGGCGCCAACGCCTCATGAAAACCCCTAACAGTCTCATGAAAACCCCTAACAGTCTCATGAAAACCCCTAACAGTCTCATGACAAACGCATCATCGCATTCGTCTCCGTTCGGACACATTCCCCCGTCGCCGAACTAATCGCGCGGGACGCCACGGAGACGGTCGCGATGCTCGGCTGTTAATTAAAAATAACAAACGGCGAACGCCGACCGCGGTCACACAACGGGGGCCACGTTGCTCGCGGGAATCCGTTGTTTCTTTCCGGCCCTGAAGAAGGGACTTCTAGAGAAGAGAGAGTTATACACGAAAAAGCGGAGAGTTTTCAGCACAAAACTCTTATTAAAAGGCCTCGGGAAGGAAAAAGTGGATAAATCCAGTTGGTAAATTTAGAAAAAAATCCTCTAACACGTGGTGTAGCCAGAATCCACGTTTTGTGGGTCCTTGGCACCGAAACATCGATTGACGTCAAAACGTCCGTCTGTGAACAACGCTAGCGGCTAAACCGTTCAGCTGATTTTCTCCAGAAATGATATTCCCAAATTCACTTGACTGATGCCGCAGATTCTTGAATTTGAAACCGATATATTAATTTTGGAAGGTATTTTACATGAAGCCCTCTGTGACATAAAAAAAGTCGCTCCATCGGTTTTGATTAAATTTTGTTGAGAGTGTGAATGACTAACGATAATGGTGTAGTTTTCATGTTCGTTAAAAACTGGATTTTTCGATAATTGCAAACATTCAATTTTTTTCGTAGTATTCCTACAACAAAAATACTAAAGATAAAGATTTTCCCTTAATGAAATCTGTTCCTTTAAATTAGGTTTTGAAATCCGGTCATGTACAATTTTTCGAAAATTTTAGTACTTTTCGCGTAATATTACATAGGCATTAACAACATCGCGAGGACGTGCGTGCGGTTGTAGTGTGGGCCGCTTTAACACGGGACGGCAGCGACTGGCGAAGGCGCCCACGGGGGCGCAAGACGTGAGCTGCGGCTCAGGGGCGTGTAAACAAATCTCCGGGCAGCCGGGCTCAGAGGGCCTTGGCGACGAGCGGAACGCCAGGCTCTTCACCGGCAGCGCTGCTCGCGGCTTTACGCGCCATATGGCCAGAGGGCAGAGGCGCAGGCCCCTGCGACGCCGTGGGAACGTGCATTGTGCTATGGAGGCCGACGACAGGTCATTGTTTCACCTCTTGCCTTATGTCATGAAGTTTTTAACAGTGGTAAGCACATTTCTGAGGCCACAAGAAGGTCATTTGCGAATTGATTGAAGATTCATTTCATAAGACAGGTGTAAGAATGACCACGACTAACTCCATGGGTCACTATAGAAGAGTAAAAGTATAGGAACAATTCTTGTGGCGGCAACTGCTGAACCGGCATAGGAGGTTCAGTGTATCACCCGCTGTCACTACAGTCCCTCTGACCGGGAGGTGCTAGGTTCGTGTCCGGGCGGAGCAACATTTCTGCACTAGCTTGTCAGCTAGGTGGAATTGAGTCGCTGTGTGGAGGAGACTTCTAGCCAGCGGTTGCTCCGATCGGAATGTTTCCGTTGTTTCTCGCAACAAAAGACGAACACTGACCAACGGGCCACGGACCGCGCACGATCTTTCGCCCTTCACCCTGTCCTCACTCACACACTTACATGCACTACACTAGCACCCCCGCCGGGGAGGCCAGCCGGGCGCTTACAGCTCGTTCCGGCCGGGGCGGCGTACAGGTTGGCGGCGGATCTTGCTAGGCAGCGAGCGGGTGAACATCCCCGCCTCCCCCACGACATTCACATGCACAGCACTGGCGTTGCCCGGGGACCGTTCGCACCGAATCAGGAACGAGCGCGTGGACCCGGTGGCGGCGCGGACTGCGAGAGGCCGGGCCGGGCCGGCCGCAGGGCCAGAGCGGCACTACGCGGGAGCACTGGAGGGCGGCGCCGCGCGCCGGCTCAGCGAAGGCACTGAGGGCGCGCGCCGCCCGGCCGCCCCGGCCCGACGGGCCCACGCGCCCGCGCAATCGATGCCAGGGGGGGGGCGGCGGGCTGCTGCGACAGGCGACCCCCCCCCCGCGCCACTCGCTGCACAGAGTGAGCGCGGACAGCCCGACGACATCGGCTCAACGAACCCGCTCATGCGGGACAAGCCCCCGCGACGGTCAGCTTCCGCCTCCACGCGAAGGCAACGGGAAGCGACGACGAGGTACAGAGCTAGGCGGAGTCAGTCGCTCTGCAAGAACAGTTCTAGAGACCGGATGCTATGAGCGGGAGTTTTCAGAGGTTTCTCCGATCAACACTCAGCGAATGCCGGAGCAGTGCCTCAACAAACGGGCCACGGACCGCGCGCGATGGTTCCTTCCCATTCCTTGTCCTCTTCCTCACCCCTTACACACTCACTCACACACACTTACACTAACATATCCTAGACTACCATATATGCCGGGAGACCACTCGGTAACTTGAAGTTTGTCCCGGCTGAGGCGGCGCCCTGCTGGTGGGAGATACCTGGTTGGAGAAACACCACTAATCTCGCCTGATCTCGCCATCCCGCGGGGGAAGATCACAGCTACTACCACCAGCAAAAACATGCACTACTCTTACCGAACTAATGCTCTTCGTAGTTTACGCGCCTGGATTCACTAACAATCAACCATTGCAGACATCTCCCCTCCCCACTGGGGTTCCAAGTAACTTTTCTGTCTATTAAAGAATGTTGTTCGTTCGGGCCCACACAGCAAAGCAGAGAATTATGCACACATTTTATTCACATGCTTAGCCATGGACAGCATCTGCGCGATGGCTTTATCACGCTTCGCGCCGGCGCTCGGCGGAGATGCGTGGGCGACCCCCTCCCCCCCTCCCGGCTGCACGCCAGCGAACGATCGCCTCTCGGCACTGCGCAGAAGTTGTTACGATCTGTGCGACCACGCTGAAGGAACCGTTCTAGACCGTCCTAACGGATACTTAACTGCTCAAAGCCTCTGTAACATTTCAAAATGCTAATCAGTGATTCGTCAATGTTCGACCCCCCCCCCTTACGCGGCATGCGTAGAACATCGCGCGCCGAGAACCAAATCAGTCTGATGCACGTGAGCTAAGAATCCAGCATGTGAGCGCAAGTCTCGTGGGCGCTGTATCACTTTCCGAAAGGTTGTAACATTTCCCTTACGTAAAGCACTTTCAGTGCTCATACTGAACACAATGTAATTGCGTGGATTCAAGTGTTAAGTTGTGTATCGCTAGGCTGAGTGGAAGACCGCACCGACGCGCACCCACGCGCAAGCCGCGGCACAGGCCTACGTTGAAGTCGTCTTGCTACCCACTGTTGAAGACCTATTCGAAAATTTTTCGTAAGGACTTCTTTCTCTTACGTAAATTTTTTTATGTAAATTATCAAGTAAGGCGCGTAGGCTGTCAATTTTTCGAAGTCTCATGATGATCACAAGTTTATTACGCAGACATAACATTTTATTTGTTACTCGCAAGTTCAACTTCAATTCTATGTTGCAAAGATCGTACGTAAATACTTCATTTTTCCATAACGAACATTACAGTACAAGATACATCAAGTGTAACCAAATTAACTATGTATTTGTATATTGCAACCCGTAACTTGTGTGGTTAAGAATAAATGAGTTGTTCTATCAAGTGCACTTTGTTTGGAGCCAGAAGCAGTTCTGAAGGCTACACGCCGACTTGCGCAAACCAAAACAATTCCTATACAGTCTACTAATTATCCCGCAGTGCAAGGCGATCTGTACATTGTTCGTCACGTGCTTTTACGATAGCAGTGTTCGTTGTTGATGATGAGAGATACAATTTTTTGTGTAAGTCAATGATTTGTAAAGAAAATTGTGAAATTCTAAATGCTGAATAGTAAAACAAGATCTTGAGTCATGGGGTATTAAAGTGATTTTTATTTTTTTTATTTAAGGTCGCATCAACTACTAGGTCATTAGCGACCACTATTGCACGACGAGCATAAATACAACCATGCCCGAGGCGGGACTCGAACCCGCGATCCTTCCGTCCGAGATCGCTACAGCACATCTGCCTTAGCGGAGGCCAGAATTCCGCGCCCGTGGCTCCTCAGCCGCCTGGGGCGAGGGTTCGACGAGGGTTCTGGGACATTTCGAGTCGCTGTACTTGATTGGGCAAATAGGCCCAATTAATCGTAAACCCCATTGCGCTGGCTCACGCGCACAATCACAGTTCGAGCAAACGCCATAAAGTGTGGACTGGTCGCCGCACGCCACATTAAAAATCTTTATATTTGCGTCCACGCAAATTCTGAAGTCATCTTTAAGGCAACTACGACAATAGCACAACCACACATGTCACCTTTAAAGTTTTCTTGTAATTAGTGCGGTAGTTGCGCTGATCTCGAGTTGATCTCGCAACTCGCGTAACGAGTTCCAAACTCAACTGTTTTCGTCTATCGGTTCACTCTACAAACAGTGGCGGGGGTACCTTGTGATCTCCGTGTTGATGTTCAACCATGCATGCGCCTTTCAAATATTTGCATGCGCAAAACTCATTCCACTGCACGCATACTGTATACAGGAGAAATATTGCAAATCACAATGAGCCAGTGAAACAACATAGATATGTGTTGAGTATAATAATTAATTGTATTCCTTTCGGTCGTGGTTTTGAATTAGCTTCAAGGGAAAACGATGAAATGAAAGAATTCAAAAATCCATGAATTTTAGACGATTAATTGATTCCAGTGTAGAACTTGAATTTGTTTAAAGAACACCTGGAAAGTGCAATATTATTTCTCGGGATTTCTAAAGCGATTCAGAACGAGTTTCTACAAATTATGTTAGAAGTCTCACAAGAAAATATTACAGAAGAAATCAGGGAAGCAATCGTTTTAGCGGTTATTTCTGACGAAACAAGCGATGTGTCGAGTATTTTTCAATTGGTTATTGTTTCCAGATACATCGTTAAGCATAAACCA